TATAGCACTTTTCTATTCTCCCGGAGTACTCAAAGCGCTGTATAGCCTCATTTACACCCACTTCTAAACTCAAGTGTAAACTAACCAACATTCACACTCTGATGGATGCATCGGAGAGCAACTTGGGGTTAGTAAGGATATTTGGCATGCAGACTGGGGAAGCCAAGGATCGAACCTCCAACCTTCCAATCAGTAGCTGATCTGCTCTACTGCCTGGCCAAGGTCTTTCTGTGTGGAGCCTGAATGTGATGCCTGCGGTTGTTTAGGATCTCTCCCAGTACTTTGGCTTCCTTCCACAATCCAAAGATATGCAGTTAGTGGGTTTTGGCTAATTAGTGGTTCTAAATTCTAAAATAACATGTACCAGTTAAATTAAACTACAGGAGAGTCTTAAAGAGAAAAAGACATTTATACAGCATCAAATCGCAACATCAGTCGCCTCAAGGAGCTTTATACTGTAAGGTCGACCCTACAATAATACATACAGAGAAAAACCCAACAATCATATGACCCCCTATGAGCAGCACTTTGGCGACAGTGGGAAGGAAAAACTCCCTTTTAACAGGAAGAAACCTCCAGCAGAACCAGGCTCAGGGAGGGGCGGGGCCATCTGCTGTGATTGGTTGGGGTGAGAGAAGGAAGACAGGATAAAGACATGCTGTGGAAGAGAGACAGAGGTTAATAACAGATATGATTCAATGCAGAGAGGTCTGTTAACACATAGTGAGTGAAGAAGAAACACTCAATGCATCATGGGAATCCCCGGCAGCCTACATCTATTGCAGCATAACTAAGGGAGGATTCAGGGTCACCTGGTCCAGCCCTAACTATATGTTCTTGAGGGGGGGGGGTCATTTTTCTGTCCTGTACAATGAGATGATAAACATGTCAGCCGACTGACTAATTCTACATATACTGTGGTTTAAAATACAGGAATTTGATTGGACTGTTAAATTTAAATTTTAAAGATAAATGCCAGAGATTTTCACTCGTCTTTGATGCCATCAAAATGAAGTTCAGTGCTCCCATATTTGAGCACACGTAATAAAAAACTTCACATTGCAAAAGGGAAGTAAAAACATTTTCTTAATGGCATATAGTTTCATTTTACAACACAATTACTGTGAAATAAAGCATGCAGAATACTTTTTAAACAATCACAGTCACATACATGAATAAAATGTCATTTTTATTTAACTTTCACACTGGATTGATATTTTTTTTTGTGATCAACATTTTATTGATTTAAAACGGGGTTGGGGGGGGGGGGTACAGACATATACAGCACAACTGTAAACTGCAGTAGCAAAGCAAACATTAGCAAACAAGGCATAGGGACAGCAAAGAAAAGACACAAAAACACAAAGTTAAAACCAATTATTGCCTCTTCCAGGAGATAACTCTGGATGAGAAGATTTTCCAAGCGTCAACAGTCGTGGGTCGAGCTTTATTTAATTTTGCTGTGGTATGTTCAAAACCAATAACACGGATAAGACATCGTCTCCAGAATGATTCCATACAAATGTCAGGACAGAACCATTGCTTTGTAATTGTCTTCTTTACGCTGGATTGATATTTTTGTTTGGACCGCAAAAACAAAAATTTCCGTAGTTATCTTTTTAAAAAGTTCCCAGATGGTCCTAAAATTATACTTCAGAAAGTATTTTAGTTAAAATCACTGTAGACGGCCTGTGGGCGTCCTCTCTCTGCAGACATGAGGTAATATAAGGATTGCTCTGAATTTTTTGCTTCATCTCAGTGGATTTCTTCCCATGTTTTCCAGACTCTTGACTATGAAACCCAAGCGTCCTATACTTTCAAGGTGGAAGCATTTAATGCAGAGCTAGATCCCCGTTTCCTCCATCTGGGGCCCTTCAAGGACTCTGTGACAGTCGAAATTAACGTACTGGATGTGGACGAGCCTCCTGTCTTCACCACGCCTTACTATTCTTTGGACGTATACGAGGACACTCCCCCAGGAACCATCATTGGCTCAGTGACCGCTTATGACCTGGATGCTAGTAGCAGTGCTGTCAGGTGGAAAGCGCTTCACAGATCTGTGGAATTATGTCAACAGACTGTTTATTTTTTTAAGTATTGTTAACAGTATTATTCATTTCCTGGAAGGCTGGAAATTGTAACGATGTTGTTCTACATCATAGTTTGAATTGGATTCTTGATCAGAATCTAAATTCTTTAAGGTGGCGCGGAAAAATACAACAAAATAAAATGATCTGACCAAGACAAAAACTGTGGTATTTTGAAATTATATTAATAAACGCGAATTCACTGTGTAATTGTGTAACTTGATTAGAAGCATCCTCCTGAAAATAAGCCATCAGAGTAACATCCTCCTCTCTGCCTCTTAATGCGCCCCGGTTGCTATGGTAACGTGTAAATATTTCTTTCAAAATAAGACTCACAATTGCAACACGGGAGGAAGGCCTTCCATTAGGCCTCCTGTCCTAATTTTCTCTCTCCATGAGGACACTCCAGGGCCAAGCGCAGCAGTGGGTGACCAAAATGAAAATGATGAGGAAGTGAAACAGCCACCAACGACAGGGAGGAACAGAAGAAGAGACAGGAATAATGAACTGCCAGACCTCATCAAAGAGTACATGAGGCAGAAAAGAGAGGCTGAGGAGAGGAGAGCGCAGGAGAACAGGGAGAGGATGGACAGACTGTTTTCACTTCTTGAAAGATTAGTTCCAAAATGGGGTAGTTTAATAATTTAGACTACCCCACCCTCCCAGAGGCATGCCTACCTATTCGGACCTGGATATCGTCTTCCAGAGGTGGTGTGTGCCGCAACAATCTAAGTCATCTGCACCGTGCTACGAGCAGAGACACAACTATGACGCGGATGGCTCTACCAAATGTAAGGTCACAGGTGAACAAGACTTTTATTTTAAATTACTTTTTCCTCTCTTCGGGGCTTGACATCTTGTTCCTGACAAAGACATGGATTTGCCCTGATGACTCCTTCTCCTTCTCGGAACTTCTTCCTCCTGACTGTTCCTTCTTTAGCTCACGGGCTATGGGTGGAGGTGGTGGCTTAGCCTCATTTTTTAAAAATATACATAAAGCTTGGCAGCAGCCTTCTCCTACCTACGGTAGCTTTGAAGTTCAATTAGTGGAACTGGTCAATTCTTCTAAAACTTTGTGTGCCATGGTTTATCGACCGCCGAAATATAATGAATTCTTTATTCATGATTTTACTGATCTGTTAGGATCTATTTTTGTTGAATAGGACTGTGTTCTTATTACTGGTGATTTTAACATTCATATTTGCTGTAAGGATGACCTTTTAGCCACAGACTTTCTTACCTTAACTGACTCTTTTAACCTTGTTCAGTGGGTTAGTGGGCCAACCCACTTCAAAGGCCATATTTTCAATTAGATGATGACGACCCATGATCGGAAGGTCGGGGTTTCGAATCCCCTGAACAGCTAACCTGAGGTACCCGTGAGCAACACACTGCTCCCCGGGCGCCGCGCTGGTGGCTGCCCAGTGCTTCACTGAGTGAATGGGTTAAATGCAGAGAAGAATTTCCCCACGGGGATCAATAATAATAATAATAATGGATTGCATTTATATAGTGCTTTTCGAGACCCTCAAAGCGCTTTACAATTCCACTATTCATTCACTCTCACATTCATACACTGGTGAAGGCAAGCTACAGTTGTAGCCACAGCTGCCCTGGGGCAGACTGACAGAGGCGAGGCTGCCATATTGCGCCATCGGCCCCTCAATAAAGTATACATTACATCATACATATACATCATTATCACGACATTGCTCCTTCGTTGCACTGCTTCCTTGAGTGCATGAGAGAAGTCAGAGAATGGCTTTCAGACAATTCCCTTATCCTGAATGAAAAGAAAACGGAGATTGTGGTGTTTGGCAACCATATCCCTAGGGGCCTATCAGCTGATACCTTTGGTTCCTTTGCCACTTCTTTCTCTGACTCAGTTAGTGACCTAGGTGTCCTGCTGGATAGCTCTTTCAAATTTAACAAACAAGTGTCTTCAGTAATCAAATCTAGCTTTTACCAACTGCGCCTTATTGCTAAGGCTAAGCACTATGTCCCTCATAAAGATCTTGTAAAGCTCATTCATGCTTTTGTGACTTTTAGATTGGATTATTGTAATTCTCTCTACTTTGGTCTTCACTCTGCTCTCCTTCACAGACTTCAGCTTGTCCAGAATGCTGCAGCTCGCCTCCTGACTGGCACTAGAAAGCATGCCTCTATCACCCCAGTTCTTATTGATTTGCATTGGTTACCCATAAAATATCATATTGAATTTAAAATATTGTTGCTCACCTTTAAAATTATAAATAATTTAGCCCCTAGCTATCTGGTCGATCTCCATAGTCCACATGTCCCTGGGCGAGCCCTCAGGTCTTCAGCCCAATTACTCCTGGCTCAGCCTAGATCTAGACTTAAATCTAGGGGTGACCGTGCTTTTGCCCTGGTTGCACCTAACCTGTGGAACGACCTTCCTATCACTACCTGTGCGTCAGACTCCGTTTTATCTCTTAAATCCCGTTTAAAAACGCATTTATTCAACATAGCCTTTCCATCTAGTTAGTGTCCCTATTTTATATTTGGTTCAATTTCCTAGTTATGTACTTTATCTTTCAGCTATATCTGTTCTTAGTACTTTGTTCTTATATTTCCTTCTATTGCTGTATAATTAGTGTCCTTTACCTGATGACATATGTGGTACTTTGTTAATTGTCTTTTATTTAATGTATTAATTTTCCTGTTTTTATTGTAAAGCACTTTGGTGTACCGCCGGTCTTTTAAACGTGCTATACAAATAAAGTTGTATTGTATTGTATTGTATTTGAATATATTTGTTACATTGTTATATGTGTTGCATTAGTTTAAAGGTTTTATGTTATTAATAAATTGATTAAAACAAACAATAATTGATACTGAACTCAATTTGATTTACAGGCATTTTTAACATGTATGAACATAACGCTAACTATGAACAATATTACATGGATATTTATTTGATAGCAATAAAATAAATAACAACAATTAAACCAGAATATTTCAAATACACAGTATGCAAAGATGAAAAAACAATATTTACCATTGTTTACACAGGATTAACCTGAGTGACCTGTTCCTGGATCATTTCTGTAACAACTGTAATAGATTACAGGAAGTCTCTGGCAGTGTTGCTGAATCTGCTGGAGCAAGATCAGAAATAGATGGGGTGCTGCAACTGAGACCTGCGGTTTGCCTTTTCTGGTCGGTGATTGTAGAATCTCACAGGGTTGTCTGCAAAGAACTTTAGCATGCTTCCTCCCACTGTCCACTGCATCGTCCATCCACAAGGTTTGCAGGGCTGGCTCACTCCATGGCTGCCACACCACTGAGATGTTTTCAGAAATATGCAAGCAGGACATGGTGGATGCTATATTACTACTAGTATAATACTTGTAACTCTGTAGCAGACAACAGTTTGATAAAGTGCTATGTACAAAAAGAAAACAAAAGATTAGATTCTATAAGTTTCAATGGCATTTAGTTTATATATTTTATATAATAAATTACATGTGTAATAATGACCGGTGTTGTGCCAAAAAATGATCGTCTGCCAAAAACCGATTTCTGGTTTTTGCCCAAAACTGATTACTTGTATTTAAATTGCTAAAAATACCTTGTTGGTCTATAATACGTGAAACATATGTCAAATGTATTAATGTCATTAATGATGTCATTAGTGATGACATGTTTCTCTAACAGGAGGACACTCTTTACACTCAACTTAGCACAGACACACTGAGGAACCTGGAAACAAGAACCTAAATCCAGGATAAAGAGTTTCAGTGAATGTGGTGTTGAAGGTGTGGAGGTGGATCAGAGTGTCAGAGGAGACTCTGTAGAAGGACAGAGTGCCAGCAGGACAGTCCACATACACTGCTACTCTGTTAGAGACAGAGGAGGAGGAGGAGGAGGAGATGGATGTTCCTGTGTTATTGTGTCTGACAAATTGAGGACCATCATCAGTGCAATATAGACTCCAGGACTGATCATTAAATCCAAACAGACAGCCATCACCTCCTCCTTTTCTTCTGATGCTTCTGTAACTCACTGATATCTCAACGTCTCCACTCCACTCGACCTCCCAGTAACAGTGACCAGTCATATCATTTCTACACAGTAGTTGAGTCCAGTAATCAAATCTGTCTGGATGATCAGGATATGATTGAACCTCCTCCACACGTTTCACCTTCCTGTTGTTGTCAGACAGTTGGAGGTTTGTGTTCACTGTGTTTGTGTCGATTGTGAGTTGACAGGAATCTGATGGAGAGAACAAACACAATCCAGCTGCAGTTATTGATCCATCATCTGTTCATTGATTGACCCTTTGATGATGACTCCTGACATCAGAGATGTGAATGATGAAGATGGTTGAATGTGTGCTGCTTTGTTTTCATGAATCCCATTAAAAACACACTTACACTTCCTCAGACCTGGTCTCAACCATCGGACTCCAGCAGGCTCCACCCTGAAACGAGGAGGGGGGTCAGACCAGCACAGTCTCTTTCAGCATGCACACATGTACATTACATGGCTCTCATACACATGAACATTCATAGTGTTCATCAAAGTGAAATTCTGTAGAGATGTGTTTGTTCCATTTCCTCATTCCAGACTGTTGCAGGTCCCGGATGGAGGAAACACAGCACAGATGACCCTCTCTAAAGACTTTATTGTCTGGCCCCATCCTGCTTTATGACTGAGGCGAATCAGATGTGCACAGGACAGACTGCCATTTCTCTAGACAGGGTTATCTTTGTATTAGTCCTAAAAGATTAATCAACATGATGTCTTGAGTCAGTGCTGCAGCACAGTAGTTTTACAAAGACTGTGACGCTGGCACTGTTTCAGGTAATCTCCCAAGTTAGCATCCCTAAAGAGATACTGGCCATCTCGTTCATGTCTTGCACACTGAAAGAACAGTACAAATTACTTGGCATTAGATTTATTTAGACCAGCATCTACCAGCCTCAGAGTGAAAGGTTGGTGGAGCATCTCAAAAAGACTTCAAAGGTCATAATTCATAAATTAATTCACAAGAAATGCAATTGACTTTTTTGTTTGCAGTTTAGGAAGTGCACCACACCTCTGCAGGAATTTCTCCTTTTGACCTGCTGTTTGGCAGCAAATCCTGTGGGCGTTGGACCTAATTAATGAAAAGTGAAGAAGGTCCAAACCGAGTAAAAAATGAAATATTTTCTTAGAGCAAAACTACACACATAGGGCTAGTTGTGACGAGAGAATATGCTCCAGGGCAAAATCAGCAGCACTTATAAAAAAAGAGGGGCTATGCTTAAACAGTTTTCACTAGGAGACAAACACCCTTCATCTAGATTAAACTTAGTTGCCAAGATGCAAGGACCCTTGGTTACATGGTGAACAAGGGCCATTTACCCCAAGTGATCTTGTGGCTGGGTACACTGTCTTCACTATTATCTAGTGGGATGCCACAGCTGGAACATGATTTTTTTTTTTTTATAATAAATTCACAACACAACATAATTTCCCTGTGGTTGTTAGGTTGTCACACAGTCCACTTAAATACAACTTTACCAATAATTTGTTTTTAACATTTTGATCAATTTAGGCTTAGTCCTTGCACTGTCCCTAAACAGAAATTAATCTAATTTGAATCCAGTCAAAAGTGAGGGAGAGGATTATTCTTTAAAAAGACTATGCCATTAAACATACAGACATCTATCCAAACAGGTTAATAAATGGTGAGCAAAATCCAGTTATGAATATTGGTCCTGGATTAGTCCTTTTTGTACACCACACTGATTAGTATTTCTTTATAATCCCGTTTGATTAATATTTGTGTTTCTGAAAATATTCTGGCATGTGTCATTGTCACATTTGCATCAATCAAATAGCAAGTGATTGAACAACACAGAAGATATTTCCAGCTCTTCCTCTTCTTCAGACATTCTTTTCAGACCTTAGTGTGTCCAGTTTCCAGCGGGGATCCTTTAGTCCAGCCAACAGCAGCTTCATTCCTGAGGCTCCTGGATGATTGTAGCTCAGGTCCAGCTCTCTCAAATGGGAGGGATTAGAGCTCAGAACTGAAGCCAGAGATGTACAGCCTTCCTCTGTGATCAGACAGCATGACAGACTGCAGAGATACAAAACAATCAATCTATAAATATTTATGTAGCAGTAAACCCTACAACATTACAGAGAATGCCTTAAAAAACAGACATTTTATTAGAGTTCTACTTGGGTATATTGGGCAGAAAAAACTGCCTTTTAACAGGAAGAGATGTCCAACAGAACTAGGCTCAGGGACTGTTGATTCAACTGTAACTATATGATTCAATTTAAAAAACAAAACAAAAAATGTTTGAGGTGTAATCTTAAAAGCAAAGATTGTCTCTGTCTCCTCAGTGCAAACAGGGCCCTGGTTCACTTTGGTGTTGCTTTGGCCATGCACCTCTTGATTTTTTCCAACTTTGAATTTTGCACTGCTGCTGGGTTAACAGTTTTTACTGTGATTTTAATGATATTTCAATACAGAAACTCAGAGATTCATAGATTATAGTGGGGAGGGTTTGTTGTAACATTTTTAAAAAGTTCAACTTTGCAGACTGAGAGTAATTGGCTTTGTTTAGATATGGGTACTATGATGTCTCAAACATATAATATTGCAAATGGCAAAACTGTATTTGAGAACAAGAATTTACACTTTAATTCTAGACTTAATGGGGGACATAGGAAGAGAAGCCAATTTGGAAATAACAGTTTTTAACTTTCTATTCACAGTCACTACTCGCTGGAGCATTTTAGATCAACTGAAACCTTTTTAGTAAGTATGTACATAGTTTTTTCAGCATCAGTCAGAATCAGAATGTTTTAGATTTTATTGGTGTTGATCACAACGGGGATGCCAGTATTACATTTATCTTATTGTACTGTACAATATAAAGCGCCTTGAGGCGACTGTTTTTGTGATTTGGTGCTATATAAATAAGATTGAATTAAATTGAATCTTCCTTATACACAATAAAAGACATGAGACGATGAGAAAAGAGTCCAAAATTCCTGCTGATGTTTTGGAAATATTTCAGACAATGATTCAGGGTCTACTAATCAAACCAAAGGCAAATAAAATGCACCTGACAATTTTATAAACATTTATTAGAAATTGTAAGCTTGATTATACATTATGGAGAGTTGAATCCTGACCTGAGACTTTCCAGTGTACAGTGTGGACTCTCAACTCCAGCACACAGAAGCTTCACTCCTGAATCTTCTAGGTTGTTGTCACTCAGGTCCAACTCTTTCAGACTAGAGGACTGAGAGCTCAGAACTAAGGACAAAGCTTCACAATTTCTCTCTGAAAGGTTACAGACACTCAATCTGGAAAATAAAGAACACAAAAACAGTTTGGGGACTGGCTGGAATAAATTTTGCCTTGTTTTAAACACATCAGAAATGTGGGACTTCCCCGTGATTTAGAAGAAATTAAAAAATACTGAGATACAACAAGAAACATGTTAAGTTCAAATTTATTAGCTACTTTAGACTGGTTAATCATGTCATTTAAAGAACAACATAACATTGTTGGATGGGACCTTAGTGTTTCCAGTGCACAATGTGGACTCTGTAGTGCAGCAGACAGAAGCCTCACTCCTGAATTTTGTAGGTCGTTGTTACTCAGGTCCAGCTCCCTCAGATTCGAGGTTTGGCAGGTGAGGACTGAGGACAGTGCTTCACAGCTTTTTTCTGAGAGGAAACAGCTACTCAAACTAGACATAAAGAACACAAGAATACAATCTAACATCATGGATTCTAAATACTTTCATGGTGCAATGAGGAGGTTCTAGATTTGGCTATACACACACACACACACACATCCATAGAGCGCAGTTCTAGGAACAGCTAAGAAAATGCACAGGACCCACAAGCTCCCAGGCCTCTGGTAGAGGACCCGAGCTTGTCTATAAATATAGATATCTATCTATCTACATATATATATACATACATACATGCATATACATATATACATACATATATACACATACATACATATACATATATACTAGGGGTGCAATGTAATTGAGCATTGCGTGGCACATCCAACATACTAATATATATATATATATATATATATCACTCCC